GAATTACTAAAAGTGTTGAATTATTTTTTACTTTAGCCCCTTACCCCTCCCCCATCAGTGACTTCCCAGGTGTTGTTGATTCTTTGATAATGGATCTGGCATATTCTCAAGGTTGGAATTACTAAAAGTGTTGAATTATTTTTTACTTTAGCCCCTTACCCCTCCCCCATCAGTGACTTCCCAGGTGTTGTTGATTCTTTGATAATGGATCTGGCATATTCTCAAGGTTGGAATTACTAAAAGTGTTGAATTATTTTTTACTTTAGCCCCTTACCCCTCCCCCATCAGTGACTTCCCAGGTGTTGTTGATTCTTTGATAATGGATCTGGCATCCGTCTCTTCCTTTCCCTTCTCACCAGTTCAGCCAGTTCTGTCTCTCATGCCGGGGTCATTGCACCCTTTTTTCCCCTGATTTCCTGAGTCTCCAGTGTTTTCCCTTGCCAATTCACCTTTTCATTCTGTCAGATTAATTGCCCTAAAACACTGCTTTGGATAAAAGAGTCATTTATTGGACAAATATTTATTGAATGCATACCATGTGCCAGGATTAAACTCCTTAGCTGGCATTTAAAGGTCTGAATGTACCCCCCCATCTGCTTTACACCAGGCCTCTGATTCAGCCACCGTCTCCTGAGCATGCCATCTCCGTTCCCATGGGTGACATTTTGTTTCAGGATGAGCTTCTATTTCGAAACCATTCTGCCTCCTTGTTTACTTACATGAGTTTGACTCTTTAAAGCCCAGCTCCAGTCAGTCCTCCCTCTATGAAGCATCAGCTTTTTCATTCTTCAGTTTATACTCTTGTCTTTAAACTGTTGCATTTAAGCAAGTGATGCCCTCAGTGCCTCTCTTTCATTCACCAGGTAAACTTCAAATTTCTCGACGTTGTATTGAAGGCTTTCCAAGATCTGGCCCCATTTTCTTATTATTCCCTAACACAAACTGTCTGATTCACCCGGACTCCTCTTGTTCTCTCAATACTCCATGCCCCTTCCCACATCCATACCTTTCCTTGCTTGCTGCTGCTTTGTCCTGTCTCTTCTACCTGTCAGATCTTACCCATTTTCTTTGACAATTTTTTTTTAGTTTTAATTTATTAATGATACTTGCATTTTGAACAAAAAGCCAATTCATGGAACAATATATAATCCATATGGAAGGACTTAGACTTGACTTTTTTTTAAAAAGACTTTATTTATTTATTTGACAGAGAGAGAGCACAGGCAGGGGGAACAGCAAGGAGAGGGAGAGGGAGAAACAGGCTCCCCGCAGAAGAGAGAGCCTGACATGGGGCTCTGGCTCGATCCCAGGCCCCTGGGATCATGACCTGAGCCGAAGGCAGATGCTTAACCGACTGAGCCATCCAGGCGCCTCTAGCCTTGATTTTTTACTTTTCTTTTACAAATCTTTCTTTCTTTTTACAAAAGTAATAAAGAAAAAAAAAAGTAATACATATTGGGGGCCAGGCTGGTTCAGTTGATGGAGCATGTGACTTCCTCTCAGGGTTGTGAGTTCAAGCCCCACGTTGGGTGTGGAGCCTACTTAAAAAAAAAACAAAACACATAATACAAGATAATATATGTATATATAAGATTTTTAAAAACATATTAATGGTATAAATAAAGATATCTATGAGGGCAGAAAGTATATATATTAATGGTTAATGGTTTCTATTACCTCTTCTTCCAGGTTGCCCCTCTTAAGATAACCAGCATTAAAGGCTTGGTATCTTGGTATGTGTCCTTCCACACCTTTCTCCTTGCCCCTGTGCATAGACCGTATGAACTGTTAAGTGCTGCTCCTTGCCCCAATGAGACTGGGAGCATGCCTTACACCAGCAGTTCTCAAAATGTTGTCCAGGACCCTTGGAGGTTCTAAGACCCTTTCAGGAGGTCTGCAAGCATAACTATTTTTATTATATACTAAGATGTTAATTGCCTTTTTGTGCTGGGTTGACATTTGCTCTGGGGTGCAAAAGCAAAGGCGGACAAAACTGGTGGTCCCTTAGCACTAATCAAGGTAGTTACACCAACTCCCACTCATTGTGCTCTTCACTGCCACATGCTTGCAGTAAATAATGCCAGTTTCACTTAAGAATATCCTTGATTAGGGGTACCTGGGTGGCTCAGTTGGTTAAGTGTCTGCCTTCGGCTTGGGTCGTGAGTCCTGGGATCGAGCCCCACGTCGGTCTCCCTGCTCAGCGGGAGCCTGCTTCTCCCTCTCCTCCCCGCTTGTGCTCTCTCTCTCGCTATCTCTGTCACTATAAATAAAATCTACGGGCGCCTGGGTGGCTCAGATGGTTAAGCGTCTGCCTTCGGCTCAGGTCATGATCCCAGGGTCCTGGGATTGAGTCCCGCATCGGGCTCCCTGCTCCTTGGGAGCCTGCTTCTCCCTCTGCTTCTCTCTCTCTCTCCCTCTCTCTCTCCATCTCTCATGAATAAATAAATAAGATCTTTAAAAAAAAAAAAAATCTAAAAAAAAAAAGAATATCCTTGATTAAACACTAAGATTTACTAATTTTATTAAACCCTGGCCCTTGAATACACATCTTTTTACTTTTTTCCAGCTTTATTGAAATATAATTGATATATAACATTGTGTAGGTTTAAGGCGTGCAATGTGATGATTTGATACATGTATAGTTTGTGAAATGTTTACCACAATAAGGTTAGTTAACACATCCTTCACATAATTACCATTTTGTTGTTAAAGTCTACTCTCATAGCAACTTTCAAGTATACAATACAGTTCTGTTAATGATGGTTACCATGCTGTACCTTAGATTCCCCAGAACTTACTCATTTTATAACTGAAAGTTACTCATCTTTTTAATGTTCTCTGTGGACTAACTGGGAAGTGAGGATGAAACACTCGGCTGCATACTGAAGTAAGGTGGGGTCTTAAGGAAAAGCACTGGCGCAGTTGTCCACAAGTTGCAAGCTAAACAGGCTTCCTTTTCACGGAACACCATTTTTACGTATAAGAACCGCTGACAAACTCATAATTGAGAACTGGGTATCTGATAGGCATTTTTCTGAAAATGAAGGAAGTGAGCCTGTCATTTCAAGGAAAACAACTGACAGTATTTGTTGCCAGTGGTAAAATTGAAGCCTTCAAGTAAAAATTAGAATTCTGGAAAACTTGTATTTGCCACTGTGAGCTTGACAGTTTCCCAGTAAAGACTTTTCTGGTGAGATTAACAAGTATGTTTGTTTTTTTAAAGATTATTTATTTTTGAGAGAGAGAGAGCGAGCATGAGTGGGAGGGGCAGAGGGAGAGAAATCTCAAGCAGACTCCGAGCCTGATGCAGGGGCTTGATCTCTTAACCCCCAGACCACCACCTGAGCCAAAACCAAGAGTCAGATGCTTAAATGACTGTGCCACCCAAGCACCCTGTTTTTTTTTTTTTTTAAGGTTTATTTATTTATTTTGGGGGGGCAGAGGGAGAGAATCTCAAGCAGTCTCCCTGCTGAGCATGGAGCCTGACGCGTGGCTCCATCCCACGACCCTGAGATCATGACCTGAGCCAAAACCAAGAGTTGGACACTTAACCGACTGAGCCACGCAAGGCCGCTGTTTTGTTTTTTTTTTAATATTGCATAGTAAAATGGATAATATTACAAAATAAGAGCAGAAGGGGGATCCTGAAAGAAAAAACTTTGAGGATGACTACGCTACACATTGTCCTGCCACTTGCTTTTTCGCTTAGTATATCATGAGCACCATTCAAGCCAGAGTCAGTGCATTTATATCTTGACAATCTTTTTCATAACAGCATGGTGTTCCATCATGTGGATGATCCACATGTATTCAGGCACTCAAATATTGATGGCCATCCAAGTTGCTTTCAGTTTTTCCTATTTTAAGTAATGCAGCAACAAACATCTTTTACATACATCCTTGTGTACTGGTGCTTTTATATTTGTAGTATGGATCCTTAAAAGTTGACCTGTTTTTCATGACCTATCTTAATAAAACTTACCCTCTCTACATCTCCAGTCATTTCTCCCTCCTACAGTTCTTGTTTTTGCCCCCTTTTGGCCTCTTATTCAGTTATTGCCTTTTGATGCCCCCATGCTATTGTCTTGTGTGTGTGTGTGTTTTTTTTTAAACTCTTCCTCTTTGCCTGTCCTATCTTTCCAGCTAGATTAAAAGTAGAAAATAGGGCGCCTGGGTGGCTCGGTTGGGCGTCTGCCTTTGGCTCGGGTCATGATCCTGGAGTCCCGGGATCGAGTCCCGCATCGGGCTCCCCCTGCTTCTCCCTCTGACCCTCTTCCCTCTCGGGCTCTCTATCTCTCATTCTCTCTCTCAAATAAATAAAAAATAAAAAAAATAAGAGTCATTTAAAAAAAAAGTAGAAAATAGGGGCGCCTGGGTGGCTCAGTTGGTTAGGCGACTGCCTTCGGCTCAGGTCATGATCCTGGAGTCCCGGGATCGAGTCCCACATTGGGCTCCCTGCTCGGCAGGCAGTCTGCTTCTCCCTCTGACCCTCTTCCCTCTCGTGCTCTCTGTCTCTCCTTCTCTCTCTCTCAAATAAATAAATAAAATCTTTTAAAAAAAGTAGAAAATAGTATAAAAATAGAAACTCCTGGGGCGCCTGGGTGGCTCAGCTGGTTAAGCGTCCAACTCTTGGTTTCGGCTCAGGTCATGATCTCAGGGTCGTGAGACCAAGCCCGCATCGGGCTCTGCACTCAGCAGGGAGTCTGCCTGAAGATTCTCTCCCTCTGTCCCCCCCCCAATGCGCGTGCGTGCTTTCTCTAATAAATAAATAAAATCCTTAAAAAAACCCAAACTCCTGAGGGTAGGGATGGTTTGGGCCCTCAGTGAATAAATGACAAGAGAGGGATTGAAGGTTGATGAGAGAAAAGGATGCCTTCATGGTTGCATCTAGTGGCTGGATGGATGCTAAGGAAAGCTGTGTGCATTCATACATTGTTTCAAATTGGAAACTATTTGAAAATTAGGAAGAGTAACTATGTAACTTAATTCTCTCATTGCAGGCAAATACATTGCCTCAACACAACGACCTGACGGGACCTGGCGCAAGCAACGGAGGGTGAAAGAAGGCTATGTGCCCCAGGAGGAAGTCCCAGTGTGCGTGGTTAGGCGTGAGGAGGGGGTACTTAATGGGGTCCCTACAGAAAAGAAGACTCTCCTGATCCCAAGACCCTAGGAAATGGAAGGAGGGAGCACCTATCTGAAAAAGAAGAGGAGAGGGGGCTGAGATTCAGGGATGTGGGAGGGGGGTTACAAATGCCTAGTACTGTTCCTATGGCTTCTGTTCTTCAGAACCTCCAAATAGCATTCAGAGACCGGGAACTTTGAGACCTAGAGACCTTCCCATAGTCTGCAGAACAGGGGAAAATTGCAGAGGGACCACAGGAGAGGAAAGAAGCAAGAAAGTGAAAAGGCTGAAGTGATTTGGAAGGTTAAGAAAAGGGCTCCAAAAGTCAGTGATTCTTTGAGAACTGTTGACCTCTCTTCCCTGCAGGTATGAGAACAAGTATGTGAAGTTTTTCAAGAGTAAGCCAGAACTGCCCCCAGGTCTGAGCCCTGAGGCCACTGCTCCTGTCACCCCGTCCAGGCCTGAAGGGGGCGAACCAGGTCTCTCCAAGACAGCCAAACGCAACCTGAAGCGGAAGGAGAAGCGGCGGCAGCAGCAGGAGAAGGGGGAGGCGGAGGCCTTGAGCCGGACTCTCGATAAGGTGTCTTTGGGAGAGACTGCCCAGCTCCCCAGTGCTCCGCAGGGCTCCCGGGCAGCCCCTGCAGCTGCCTCTGAGCAGCCTGACTCAGCCGTCACCACTGAGAAGGCCAAGAAGATCAAGAGCCTAAAGAAGAAGCTTCGGCAGGTGGAAGAGCTGCAGCAGCGGATCCAGGCTGGGGCAATCAGCCAGCCCAGCAAAGAGCAGCTGGAGAAGCTAGCGAGGAGGAGGGCGCTACAGGAGGAGCTCGAGGACTTGGAGCTGGGCCTGTGAGGCCTTTGGGGAGGGGGGGATGGACTGCAGAACAAACCAGGGGGCGCTCTGGGGTCCTGGGGAATGTGGGCAGCCGCGGTCAGGAGGGCGGGCGTACCCTCGTACTGACTCACTTCCACCTCTCCTGGCCCAATTCCGTCCTCCAGAGCCTCGCCTCGCCGTCATTCCTTCCCTCTTCTTCCCAACTCCGATTTTTTGGACTTTTCTCCCTCCCATTCCCAGTGTTGAAAATCTCAGTGACTACCCCAGGTACCTTTGCTGCTGATTTGGGTGTCTTGTTGAAAAGAAGTTTGGGTGGGTGGGAATCTCTTGCAGAACTGACGTCGAGGGTAGGGGGAGTACACCCAAGTCTTGGAGTCTCGGTTCCTGTTCACAGTGTTTATGGGTTATTTCTCCCTCCATCCCTCACCTTTTTTTTTTTTTTTTTTTTAAAGAACAGAATAAACTCAAGTAGACAACATGTCTGGCTTTGTCCCTCTCTTTTCAGCTTCTAGGCTTCTAGTAGTTGTTTTATTTCCTTCAGTTTGGTACAGGAAGACAAGTGTTGGGAATAATACTCCTCATTTATTTTTTAAAGATTTTATTTATTTGAGAGAATGAGACACAGAGAGAGCACAAGCATGAGCAGGGAGAGGAGCAGAGGGAGAGGGAGAAGCAGACTCCCCGCTGAGCAGGGAGCCCAACATGGGGCCCGATGCCAGGACTCCAGGATCATGATCTGAGCCAAAGGCAGATGCTTAACAAACTGAGCCACCCAGGTGCCCCTACTTCTTTTAATTTTTTAAAAAATTGTGAGTGTATGACTCAATTAGCAACACTGGTTTCTATACATGTTTGCTCAGACTTCAGTGAATAGTAATAGGTTATAATAAAATGAAACTTAGAGCAACTTAGAACATTAATTTCACATGTTAATTTATGTGTGTCATTATTCTCATGCTGCATAGCAATGGGGCCTTTGTACCTCCCTTACTGCTTCTTTCTGAAGCTCTTTTGAAATTTTACCTTCTCAGATGCCACCCCAAGATGGCATTGTGGGACAAACTAATACAAGAAGAGGTATTTACGCCAAAAAGAGCTGTCACTTAATTTTTGCATATGCGATTCACCCCCCCCCCCCGCCTCTGCAACTTACCACAAGCTTTCTTTCTATCCAGCTGCTAGTGTAGAGACCAATGGAGGTCTGTAATGAACTGTAATGTTCTTCACTGTAATGAACTGTCTTAGTTGTTCCAAGTTCTTAGCCTGACTCATAAGGTCCCACACAATCTGGCCTCATTTTTTGCCATCCCTCAACTCTGGCCAAACCGCTCCAACTATACTGACTACTTTCTATTCACTGAATGAGCCATATTCTCTCTGACCTTCAGTCATTTGCCCTTATGGGTCCCTCTGCCTATAATACTCTTCCTTAGTCTTTGGATCTCGATGTCATCCACTCTAGGAAGACTTCCATTACACTCCAATATTAATTTAGGTGCCTCTCTAAACTTGCTTCCTTACTTAGGTTTGTAATGACATTTATTACAGTACGTTGTTATGGTTGTTCACTTGTTAGCCCTCTTCTTCCTCATTAGATCATTGCACTCCAGGGCACCTGGGTGGCTGAGATGGTTAAGTGTCTGCCTTCGGCTCAGGTCATGATCTCCAGGTCCTGGGATCGAGCCCCACGTTGGGCTCCCAGCTCAGCGGGGAGTCTGCTTCTCCCTCTCCCTCTGCTTATGCTCAGTCTCTCTCTCTCTCTCAAAATGAATAAATAAAATCTTAAAAAAAAAATCATTGCACTCCTTGAGCCCTGGGACTGTTTATCATCACTGCATCCCAATACCCCCAATAGTAAATTCTCAAATAATTGAATAAATAAGGCCACAAGCCATGTGTAGAAACAGAAAATGAGGGATAATTTGTGCCTCGAACAGCTGAGCTCAGTTAACGAGGACTTGCCTGGGCACCTCAGTGTGAGACTAAAAGCCTGAGTTCCCTTGTGTAGGACCCCTGCACAATTGTAAAGATTTTATAAATATGACTTAATTGGCTTATATATAGATGTTTGATGTTTTATAAGTTCAGGTGTTTTAGAGAAATCTATATTTTAAAAACTATTATTAAGGAGAGATTAATTGCTTTGCAAAAGCATATGCCACAGTAAACCTTTAAATTTCCTGGATCTTAAGTAGTTTGATTAAAGTTTATTTTGATATTTGTTGGACCATGTTGTTAGTCATTGTGTCAGTCTGGAGGGATGCAATTATGAATACCTTGTAGAGCCTTCATTTAAGGAAGCTATTAAGTTGTATAATTCACTAATTAAATACTAGGCAGATTTAATTAAGTGCTAGACAGCACTGTTTTGAGGGATAACTAAGAGAGAAACCTTTTCTTCTAATTGGGGGAATGGAAAGACTTAATGGTGGTGTTGGATTTTGAAGATTATGACTTACATCTCAAGAAAGGCAGGAAGGGGAGAGCAAACATGGCAGCACAAAAGGGATATGATGAGTTTGCTTTCAATTCTGTAGGGGCAAAAAAAAAAATCTGTAGGGGCACCTTTCCTTACAAAAAAATTAGTGTTGATATAGGATGAAAATTTGCACATAAACTAGTGTTTTTCAAAATGTGGGTCATGAAATCGATTTAGAAAGTGGTGACTAGTAGTGTGTTTTGTTTCTCAAGTTTTTTTTTTTAAAGATTTATTTATTTTAGGGGTGCCTGGGTGGTTCAGTTGGTTAAGTGTCCAACTCTTGGTTTCAGCTTAGGTCATGATCTCAGGGTTGTGAGATGGAGCCCTGCATTGGGCTCCCTGCTCAGCACAGAGTCTGCTTGAGGTTCTCTCCCTCTGCTCCTTCCCCCGCTTGCACACTCTCTCTCTCAAAATAAATAAAGTCTTTTTAAAAAGAGATTTATTTATTTTAGAGAGAGAGAGAGGGAGAGAGAGAGAGTCTCAAGTGGACTCTGAGCTGAGAACAGAGACAGAGGTGGGGCTCAATTTTATGACCCTGTGATCACAACCTGAGCCAAAACCAAGAGTTGGACATGACCGACCGCACCACCAAGGCGCCCCAAGATTTTGTTTTTAAGTAATCTTTACACCCAAGTGGGGCTGGAACTTACAACCCTGAGATCAAGAGTTACATGCTCTATCGACTGAGCCAGCCACACACCCCACTAATGATATTTCTAAATGGAGTAGAATAGAAAATAGCAGAGACTGATGCTTAATTAGGAGTAAATATGTCTCAGGATAATTTTGTTTCAGTATATATGTATATCACTATATCAGTGTTGAGTGAGAACATAAAATGTATTTCTTACCTTGGTTTGCAGGAAAATAAATTTGAAAGCCACTAATAAAAATCAATAGTAAGGGGCTAGGGCCCCTTACATCACACACTCTCTCTCTAGTCTCTGTATTTGGGATGGATGGGGTAGAAGGATACTAGTTTTAATTATTTCCCCAGTGGGCTCTTGTAGCTTATGGCAAAGTAAATTAGCTCCTCTCTTACTTCTTACTCTTGAGGCTATCTTACTGTTTATTTGGCAATTCTTTCCCCCTTGCAGATGATTCCAACTAATGTGTAAATAGTAAAGATTCTAGGGATCTGGAAGTGAGTTATTTTAGAATCAGCCATTTACCCTCAGTGGCTCAGAGCCCATGTGTTAGTTTCTTATTATCCACTAGATGGTACTGTGAGGGGCCGGTATTCTCAAGTTATCCTGTCTCTAGACTCCAGCTTATTTTGAAACTAGCAGATAGGTTTACTTAGGCAGAAAATCTTTTTCTCTTCAGGCTCCCAGGCATTCCAGCACAGGGTGTCTAGATCTCCCTCCACTCCCCAACCATAACCTTGTCCTACAAATTGAGGAGGATAGAGAATCTGGGATCGAGAAGGTACAATTTTTTGTCAGTATTGCCATCTCTCAAAAGAGATCAGAAATGCTTTACATTCACCCATGGAGATCAAAGAAGATGCTGAACTGCAGTGGAAGGAATGGAGGTTATACCCCCAAGACAATAACTGGCTTAGTGGGGGTAATGGAATTGGCTGGGAGGAGCGGAGGGAGAAGACGTTAAAGGATCTCTTCTTTGAGAGGCACCTGGGTGGCTCAGTCCATTAAGCAGAGTTAAGCTTCTGCCTTCAACTCAGGTCATGATCCTGGGGTCCTGGGATGGAGTCCCCGTGTCGGGCTTCCAGGGAGCCTGCTTGTCCCTCTCCTCCCTGGTTGTGCTCTCACATGCTATCTCTGTCTCTCTCAAATAAATAAAATCTTTTTTTAAAAAATAAATATTTTTAGGGACACCTGGGTGTCTCAGTTGGTTAAGCTTCTGCTTTTGGCTCAGGTCATGATCCTGAGGTCCTGGGATCAAGCCCCACATCGGGCTCCCTGCTCAGCAGGAAGCCTGCTTCTCCCTCTCCCACTCCCCCTGCTTGTGCTCACTCTCTCTGTCAAGTAAATAAATAAAATCTAAAAAAAAAAAAAGAAAAGAAAAAGAACTTTTAAAAATAAAGATTTTTATTATTTTATTTTATTTAAAAAAATTATTTATTTATTTGTCAGAGAGAGTGAGCACAAGCAGGGGGAGCGGCAGGCAGAGGGAGAAGCAGGCTCCCTGCAGAGCAGGGAGCCCCGATGCAGGGCTCAATCCCAGGACCCCGGGATCATGACCTGAGCTGAAGGCAGACGCTTAACCAACTGAGCCACCCAGGAGTCCCCCCAAAATAAATATTTTTTAAAAAGGATCTTGGGGTGCCTAGGTGGCTCAGTTGGTTGAGTGTCTGCCTTCGGCTGAAGTCATACCCCACGTCGGGCTCTCTGTTCAGCGGGGCGTCTGCTTCTCCCCCTCCCTCTGCCTGCCACTCCCCCTGCTTGTGCTCTCTCTCTCTGTCAAATAAATAAGTAAAATCTTTAAAAAATGTTTTTTTAAAAAAGGATTCTTCCTTGGGAATGCAACAAGTTATAGAATTTGATTATATTCAGCAAACATTTTTCAAGAGCTTTCTATAGGATAGGAGAACACAAAGTTGAATAAATTTTGGTAACTACTTTCTAGGTTCAAGGAAAACAAAGCGACAACACTCAACAATAATACAGTGTGATAAATAGGGGCATACACAGGGCACTGTGGAAGCAGAGAAGGGACCCCTATGTCAGTTGTGGTAGTGGGGGCAGGGAGATGGTGACCAGGGAAGTTTTCCCAGTGGAGATGACACCTAGGCTTTCATCCTGCAAAGATGAATAGGAGCCCTCCAAATCCACAAGGTTCTGCTGTACTCAAGTCTCCCCTGGTGACTTCATTTACTCCTGTGATTTCAACAACTACCTCTGTGCTAATAACTCTCAATGTTTCCCTAGCCCAGTCATCTCCAAAACCTGCCCATCCAGTGTCTCCTATTTGTATGTCACTGTTCAAATTCAACTTGTCTAAAACCACGCGCTGAAAAAGACCCAAGGCTTTGATTTTTAT